TATATATATATATACATATATATATACAAGTCTCCTAGTGTAATATGCTTCCCTACACAAATAAACTTCATTGCTGGTGTAATGTTAGTATTTGTAAAAGAAAAATTCAACCTTGAGAGGAAGTTGAGTATATGTTCTCAGTCAGAGCATATTTTTTCAAATACTGTAAATAACATGTTAACAATAAGTATTTTGCTCTTCTTTCTCACTATTCTAAAACCAGTTTCATGGATGAACATGCCAGCATATACCAAGAATGTGTTGTTTTTATTTTAAGGAATTAGATTTTATGAGAAATGCAAAGTTTATTATTTAAAAGGTGTCTTATTTTTTATGTATTTCTAAGTCATTTTTTAGTGATCTCCACTCTTTCTCTTTTCACAAGCTGTAGAGAACTATCGTCCTGCTCTGACGATATTGATGAAGCGGCAGAGATGGGCATGTCATTTTGCCTGAGGTTTCTTATTTTGTTATCCCATTCTTGTCTTCCAAAAACATTTTAAAGTATTTTGTCCTAGATACGCTGGTTCATATCTTTACATGGTGTCATTCCCATGTTACAAAAAAATGCTTTCCTCTTTTGTAAATTAATGAATCGTATAGAAATTTGACTTTCTGTGGTTTGATTTGTTTTCTACCATATCACTTCTGTGTTTTCAAGTACAGAGTTGTGAAGATGCTTTGGGCCTACATTTTTTAGATGGCATCTAGAGCCATGACTAAAGTTGTTGAGCAGATGTACACCTGTGCTGCCAAGGACATCAGGTAGTTGGTAATTTGATGTCAAAATACAGCCTTGACACACACCTTTATATAAATATTAATTCATTGAGTAATAGTACAGTGAAGTTAAACAACTGATTATGCACTCTGTGTGTTAACACTACTTGGTTCTTGTATAAAGAGATTGACTGTCAAACTGTCCATGTTTTATTTTATTTCCAAACTGTACACTTTATTTGTTTTAAAAAGCAAGGTTAATTTAATCTCAGCAGTTCTGTGGTTGAAAAGTTTGGATGGGTTTAAGTAATTTTATATGTTATATGGTTTTCAAAAATTGATTTTATACACAGATTTTTTTTTGTGGCAATTTAAGTGTATATACTTGTATATTTTGAGATTCCGAAACAATTTATGGAAAAGTAATTATTTTGGAGTTAATCTTGTCTTTTATGTTATTAAGGTTTGAAAGATTATATCATCATGTCGAAAAAAATTATTATAGTTTTATCGTATAAATGTGTTGGGAACATTTTTTTTTATTCTTGTTTCTGTGTTCCCTATTTATTTAGCATGGGCAATTTTACAAGGTGTTGACATAGTTTTGGGAATTGTTAGATTTTGGACAACAAAAAAAGGAGTGAAGGTGAGCTTTGGTTTTGCTGTAGTGAAAATGAGGTATTCTAAAACTTGTGCAAGGTATTGTACCTCATCTTATGTTAGTTAACTTTATCAGCATTTCCATGTAGTCAGTTGTGGTCGAAGGTGATGGAAGTGGGACTTATCTTGTAAGATTACACTGAAAAAAGTGTTTAAGTTATAATACTATTCTTTTAAAGGAAACAGTGTTGACTTTGTTCTTGAGCATTCTTGAAATAAATAATTTTTCATTAGTGAATAACAATACTAGGCCTGAATAAGAAACTTTAAATGATTTGAATAGCAAACAAATATAACTATTGTGTGGTAAACTCTGTAAGTACAAAAAAAAGTGTTAAAATACTGTAAGCAAAAAAAAAAAGATGTGTGGACCTGATGAAGATAATTTGGCAAAAATATTGATCACATAATTTTCAGACTTTAAATGAACTGTTTTAACTATAAATATAGGATCCATCTTTGAATACTGGTACAGTGTAGGCAGTGAAAATTTAATACAAACACAGGTAATAGTTTGCAGTTTCAGAAGTAGGTAGTGAATCATCTGAAAGACTGTATCAAAGGTAAAGTCGTATTAGGGATTTAAAAGTATACTAGTATGATACTCAAGACTAAAAGTTTTCGAGCTACTGTGAATTACACATTTATTACACTCGGGCTAGTGCAGTTATGCTTGAGTGAAATGTACATAAGGTCGAACTCCATTATAAATAGGTTACAAAAATCTGTTGTATTTTTTTTCAAATTATTTAATATATACTATCACTGAAATTTGTGTGAGATCAGTAGCCTGTGTATAAATGATAAGCAAATCCGTCATTTATAATACTTTCTAAGTGATTAATTTTCATTGAGGTTGGAATATTTATATTTTAATGCAAAGTTTTTTAATAGGAGATGAAACAGCTGTGTTTAGGCAAAATAACTTAGACCATCTATCTGAACCTTGCAACCTTTTTTCTAGATGTATCTGAAAAGAGAGGTGTTTGGAATGTTGTACTGTTTGTGGTTCTTTTAATTTTTGTCATATATAGACTGAATACCCCACCCAGCGAGTTTAGGTTTTATATCTTCTGAAGTAAATCATGCTGTTAATACATTAGGAATACCATTGTATCACATATGTAGACTAATTAATGTGTGTATAAATTTTATATCTTTGTCACTTACACTGCTGTAAATCATATTATCTTTTATTTAATAGTTATTTATTAGTTTTTTAATTCTATGAAAGAACACATTCTAATAAATAAATATATATATGTAAGTATATGCAATGTCTAATAGTTTAGTCATTATAGTTAAAATCAAATAGTTGGGTTAGTAGAATTTAAGTTAGGGCTAATACATTTCTCATGATTTCTAGCATTTACACCCCTGCAATGAATGGTTTAAAATGGGACAAGAACCAACACGTAGAAGATAGTGTTTGTTGACTAGTTTCTTTTCGTCTGCTGTTGAAGAGTGTGTTTCAGACTTTTATGCTGAGTTCTTCATCATTTGCTGCTCAGGCTGTTAGCCAGTCTTTAAAAAGATTTCTCCCATCCCAAAGCCTTAAAAACAACAAGAAATGTTTGTTTTGTTAATAAATACAATAACTAATTACTTCAGATGTTTTATCAAAAGAGAAAGGGACTTAGTAAACTAGAAAATTCATATTTTCTGATCCTTTCAGCAACTACAGATGGTCATGGGCTTGTAATTGATACTATCATTTGATATTCATAAAAGGAACATCTTTTTTTTTCAAATATATTTTACTGTAGTTGAATGTTAGTGGTTTCTTAGTTCATTCTCTTTATAAACCAGAAGTTTTATAGTATGTATCAATACTTAATAGTACCATAGCCACTGATTTGCATTGTTTGATTATCTGTTTTTTAAACAGATTAGAAACTGTAATATTTTGAAAGTCAAACAAACTCTCTTAAGCTGTGATTATAAAAGTAAATTAAAAGAAATATTAGAAAAGCCAAGACTTGGTGACATTCAGAAAGTTGATTTTGTCTTTTGGAAATTATATTACATAATATCCAATATGCCATTTGTGTAACTGTGAATTTTGTTTATAAGCCATAAATTATATTTGCTTTTCTGTTAATGACAATACTACAAATAAAATATGCATACATTTAGTCCTTACAACTTTTGTTATTGTTTGCTTAGTATTAAAAAAAAAGTAACATTTAATATTATATATAAGAGTTTACTTACCAAAAGGTAAAAATATCTTAATTTATTTGATGTAATTTCTTTATTTTCTATTTCCCTGAGAGAGCTGTATAGTTAGTTGACTTGAATGTTGTTAATTTTTGTAATTTTGTTGAAGAATTTTAAGTACTTCTAATTAAAAACTAATGTTTTTATAAGTCATTTTAGAGTAGCAAAATCAAACTCTTCAGCTATTTTAATAGGCCTTAAAGTAGAAAACCATAATTAATTGTACTATGTATTGTATTGAGACATTTAATCATATTCTGAAGGTCGATTTAATACTAATCCCAGAAAAATAGAAAATAAAGAAATTAAATCAAACAAATTAAAATATTTTTACCTTTTGATGAGTAAACTCTTATTTATAATATTAAATTTTACTCTTTTTTTTTTTTAATACTAAGCAAACAACAACAAAAGTTGTAAAGACTAAATTTTTTTCATATTTTATTTGTAGTACTATCTTTAACTTTAACCAATACTTGACAGAAAAGCAAATGCAATTTATGTCATATTTTGGTTACTTTTTTACTTTTTTTCACATTTTGAAAATTATTTGCTTATCATTGCATAAGGCTTCTGTTTATCACTGAGACAACATGAGATTATTTGAATGTACTATTTCATGTTTTATGAAGCTTGATTAAGTTGTAATTAGCATTTTCTCAAATATGTAAAGGTCACTGTGATCTTCAATATTCAACTTTTAAAAGTTATTCTCAGTTTAACCCTTTCACTGAGGCTGTTAATGTATATTTCACAGTGCACTGGAAAAATATATGTCCCAGCCACCGTGAATGGGTTAAGCAACACTGATCTTTTACACTTATTAGTTGATTGGCTTGTGCTAAACTTCTGTGAGCTTTTAGACTTCTCAGTCAGTTTAGCAAATAAGCTACATAGTATCACAATAGCAATAAATCTGTGAATCATCTAAATCACAGGTGAGCACCTGATAACTGAAATCCTGGCATGAATTGGTACGGGCCAGGTGTCAGTTTACCTTCAAGCTTGTGTTTTGTTTTTCTTTTATTCAATTGTCCTTGACAAATAATTTCTTTGAATTTTTAAGAATAACCTTTATGTACACCTGTAATTTGTTTTTCCATAATTACTTTGAATTTTCAAGTTTGTGTTCTCGTTATTTCACTGATTTAAGTTCTGATGGTTGGTTATTTGTCTTATCTAAATAAGTACATATTTCTCTCTCAATGTTAGAACACGACAGTGATGTCTATTAAAGAAAGAAGTATGGATTATAGGTGACTGTGATGTTTTATAAAAAGGTCTTGTAAAGACTGATTATTACAGGATTAACATAAAGTGAAGTATAAGTTTGTAAGATGCTCTGTAACTTTATGAATAATTATGTT